CGGCATTTTTATGCGTTTTTGGCAGCTATGCAATGCAAAAACGCATATTGTCGGGGAGTTGTCTGTCTGTGTGTGTGTGGTTGTGTGTATGTATGTGTGTGTGTCTGTGTGTGCGTCTTTAACGAGATTTCATCTCGAGATCCACAAAAGCTACAAGGCTGAAAATTTGGTGACTTAATCTACACGTGCGTGCGGGCTTCACAGAGTTGTTCCTTAGCCGTGTCTAATCCAAGGATTTCAAATTCAGCCTTCACGCACCATCAGGACTCACGTAAGTACACGTCAAAGTTTAAACTGGCATCATGCCAACTCCAAATTTAAGGCGACCAATAAACTGCAGAGAACTGCAATTTTGCAGCGTTACTTGATGCCCACTGTTGTGTCCGTGAAAGTAAGTTAATTGTCAGCCGCATCTCACGTACGAACACGTGTACACACGTGAAATTTGACGTAACTCCGCAACCAGAGCAGCTGGTGTGCTGAAACTTTTTGAGCGCTACCTAGGACCGTGTTTGACCAACTACAGACAAAGAAAGCACTCACGTTGCCACTCACGTACGAACACGTGGAATCTGACGCAACTCTGCAACCAGAGCAGCTGGAGCGCTGAAACTTTCTGAGCGCTGCCAAGGCCGTGTTTGAGTAACCGTAAGCGAAGAAAGCATTCACTTTACCATTCATGTACGAACACGTGAAATTTGACGTAACTCTTCAACCAGAGCAGCTGGGGTGCTGAAACTTCCTGAGCGTTATCCAGGACCGTGTTTGACCAACCGCGGGCGAAGAAAGCACCCACGTTGCCACTCATGTACGAACACGTGAAATTTGACGTAACTCTGTAACCGGAGCAGCTTGAGTACTGAAACTTTTTGAACACCACCTAGGGGCCGTCTTTAAGTAAGCCCAAGCGAAGAAAACACTCGCGCTGCCACTCACGTACGAACACGTGAAATTTGGCGTAACTCCGCAACTGAAGCACCCAGAGTGCTGAATTTTTTGGGGATGGATTGGGAGTCATTGTAATAATTTCTAACAGTCACGGTGGCCAGTCACAATTCTTTTAGCTAGAAGCATCTGCCAGGAAGAACGTGCCACTGGCGAAAAAAACCTGCGGGGGGAACTGTGCAAAAAGCGCATCCTCGTACCGGCAGCCGGTACGCTTTCGACTAGGTTTTATATTTTCATAACATCTCAGTGTACTTACAACAAATCACGCATGCTTTTAAATACATTAATTTAAGCTGAGAACTGTTACGACTGGTGCCAACGCAGGTTTCCGGCGGCAAATCCAAAACCTAGCTCAGCTAGACCTTGCCCACTGGTGCCGGAACGGTCGCCAAAGCAGTTCGTAGTTTTAGGAAAACCTTCCAAGAACGTGAGGATATTGATAAATCAGATTCGTAACTTTGGGGAAAATGCACCGTCCGCAACTTCATGCCAGACCAACACTCCAAAGTGGAACTATATTCCCCCCTTATTTTTCTCATTTTGTGGATACGAAGAAACAGAAACAACGTTTATACATTAAACAACGTCACAGTAAAATTCGGCAACTAGTGCAGATTAGGAAGAGGCATATCAATCAACGTATCGCAACATAATGAAACGTAAAGTTCTGTGGATGAGGAATGGATAGCACTGAGTAAAATTCATTGAATTGGCATCTTCATTCAAATGTGGGAAAACCCATGGAGTCCAAGCAATTATTAATAGGACTGATTACGTAGTTAGTGTTGAAACAGCGCGAGGTACAGTTCCAAGCATGCTTGGAAGAGAACACGAGCCAATGGCAGCCCAAAGAGTGGTTGACAACGTAGTAACAGGCTAACTTTACAAACAAAAAAGTGTAAAATAGTACGTCAGTAACAGCATGAATGAGGAG